CTATTTATCTAATATCACACAATGTAAAAATTACCAAAACACTCCTTAAAAATAAAACAATTTATTCGTATGTGTCATTCATATTCCAGTGACAAGGAAATTTTAATTGTGTATATGATGCAAACAAAGTATTAAAGCCATGACTTTAATGTAAACTCATGATTGAGGTAAAGTGTTTCTTGTACACTGGAGTAAGGAAGCTCTGCGGTCAGTGTTCATCTTGATGCATCTTCCTGTGGATACCCAGACTTTCCTGATGCTGCAGCTGCCACTATGATGTCTTTAGGCTGTCATTTGACTGAGGTATGACAAGCAATAACTTCCTCCTCTGAGCTTCATCAGGTCACTCAGATGATCTGTAAAACATGGCCGATTCAGTGTTACTTGTAAAACAGAATACACCAATCAGCCATAACATTATGACCACTGACTGGTGAAGTAGCACTGATTATCTTGTTATCATTGCACCTGTCAGTGGGTGGGCAGCAAGTAAACATTTTGTCCTGAAGTTGATGCGCTAGAGGCAGGAAAAATGGGCAAGAATGAGTATTTGAGAGAATGGCCAAATTTTTTAAAGGTACTGCAGGGGTCAGTACCTTTCAAAAATGATCCAAGGAAGGAAAAGCAGTAAACTGTCGATAGGATCATGGGCTCATTGATGCACGAGGGGAGCAAAGGCTGGCCCATGGGGTCCAATGCAACAGACGAGATGTACTGTAGCTAAATTTGCTGAAATAGTTAATGCTGGTTCTGGTACAAAACATTATGACCAACAGGGTGCCCAGGTGGTCATCATGCTATGGCTAATTGGTGTATAATGCAGTGTAATATAATACAGCACAAGTACAACTAACTATCAAAGGCTGCCACAGCTCAATTATTAATAAAGAAACTGCGACTGTAACTTATGTTGTGACATACCAAAAGCTAATAAATACAAGTTCCCGGTGCAAAAACATATGATAGATGTTACATTGGAAGTGCACTTATATTGTCAGTAATACGAGTATTTCAGTAACAACATTATTAGTTGCGGTATGATTTTACACACACTGCCTAGTGGCACACTACAGCTGTTAATCAAAGTTACATAACCTTACCAAACAAATTAATTCCTGCAGTTTGACCATTTCTTTCTCACACATAGCTCTATCATTAACTCCAGTGAATGTATATCAAGTGAATTTACATAAGACACACACACACCACATCACAGTAGAACTACCTTTAGTATAACAAAGCTAACGCTAGCTGAGCTGATGTTGACTTCAAACAGGGCTTAACAATCACACAGTTTCTTAATGTCCCTCGATATGACAAAATAAAGTCAGACATTGGCCTTGTGCAATACTAGCCACGTTAGCCATGCGCCATGCTCACGCCAAGTCCATCATGGGTATCTACAAAATAAACAGTAAAACAACATAAAACATGGCAAAACTTACAGTTTTCCAAGTATGGACAGCTGGTATCAATCCTTCCTCCTTTGAGACAGCAGTTGCAGTCGTTGGACATTTCAGTCACAAAATAAAGTCAAGGTTTTTACTTCCTCTAATAATGGGAGGAGATGCAGGTCTTTGTGCTGGTCTATGCAACCAACATCAGAGCAGTTGTAAATGGTGTGTACTTGTATCTATTCTTCCGACCACGTGCTTTTACACTACATGTTACATTCATACACAATGCCATCGGGAGCAATTTGGGGTTCAGTATTTTGCTTAAGGACCCTTCAACATGTAGCCAGACGCTCTAAGCCAAAGAGCCTATGTTGTGGTACTTAGTTTCAGGCTTTCGGGAAATGCTGGCACTTGCAGGGGAAACATGGCAGACACTCGCAAAGGCAGCTCTCCACCGTAGGCTGTTGTTACTTAGAGGGGGGTGGGTACAGTGCTTATGAGCCAGCTTCCTACGCAGGAAGGGGAGCCAAATCTGAACAGCTGGTTGGATCAGGTCTCCTGACAATGGCAACTCTCAAAAAAGGACTTTGTTGGTTTATTTTACAGTTTCTGGGTTGGTAGGCCATCCATCAATACCCAAATATATGTGTACAAGCATTAAAAAGTGAATTCTGCATAATATGTCCCCTTTAAAAGTTCTCACCAATTTTTGAATTCTGAATCTGCCAGTAACAAAGTAACAAAGTAACAAACAATACTTTACTTACAGATTATGCTGGTGGTTGGGTTTTTTTTCTTATCAAGCTATTATTTTTAGAACGATTTGGAAAGTTGGTTGGCATCAGGGACACTGCCCTAAAATGTTTCATCATATTTATCTAGCAGAACTTTTTCAGTGGTCATGGGTAATGCCTCCCTATCACTGGCCCCTCTGACATGTGGTGTTCCATCATTCCTGGCTCTTTGCTGTTTTCTATACTGGGGCACATCCTAAACAAACAAAAAGTCATAAAAAAGTGCTGGATGTCCCAAAATCAAAAGCTCAACAAAAACAAATCGGAGATAATTATCTTTGGTCCCCCAAGGTCCATCCCTGTTATACAAAAAAATTGGATCCTTGAAATTAAATATCAAACCTGCAGCCAGAAACCTGGGCGAGACCTCAATTTAAAAAACAAAACAAATTAAAGCTGCAAGCAGCGTTGGGCGGGCCCTCGCACTCCGCGCAACTCGGGGCGTGTGCCGGTGCCTGCGGCGAGTCAACGTGCCGCCGTCGTTGCACGCTGCGGACCACAACTGAAAATTTCATTTAAATCAGATCAAAGTTGCCATGAAGTGCTTACTTCTTGTTGCCAGCTAGGTTGGGCGGGGCTATCACTATTCTGCAATATTGATCATGTAGACATGTTCAGGACGGACTCTTATCAAACGGTGTGAAGTTTTCATGAGATTGGACCATGTACACTGAAGTTGTGAGGCCGTGTTAGGGGTGGCGGACTGATACATGAATATAAGGAGGTACTAACTGTTTTTATGGGATCGCAGAATTCGACACGGGTCGCCACGGGCACTCGTTTAAACGCTTAG